TTTGGATGTGTGGAACTTGGGATGGAGGAAGGGTTGGAAGGGACCAGGAGGGCTGAGCAAGGAAGGCCGCCCTGGCTTTCAAAAAAAAAAAAAAGTTAAAAGCCCTCTAAAAGGGAAAAGTGGTGGTTTAGGGATGTAGCCAGCCTTCTGAAACAGAACACAACTATTGCATGAGAAGTGAGATGCAGACGTGATCAGACTTCATGCCTGTTATCTTGAACCAAAATGACATCAGGAATTTACGGAAGTTACCTGTAGTTATGATGTCATCAATTATGGACAAAAGTTTAGAATATATGTGTCTAAATAAAAAATAAATACAAAGGAAGTATATTTTCTACTGTGATCTCTCAGAGAGGGTTTAAGGCAAATTAGGAACAGACAGAATATATTGAATTTTATTAACAGTTTAGACAACATTTGGTTATTCCCTACATGATCATATTTTTTTCTTTCTCCATTCCCTCTGGGTTCTCTGGGTCTGTCTCTCCCCTCCCTCCCTCCCCCCCTCCTTCCCTCCCTCCCTTCCTTTCTGTATCTACTCTCATTCATAGTAGCCAGTTGTTGAAGCCTATTCATGGATGGACACCTGAGATTTCAGAATTTTTTTTTTTTTTTTTGCCATACCTCTCAAAATCTTCTCCTTCCTTTTGATTTCTGACAGTTCTCCTTGAACATTCATGGCTGGGTCTTATATGTCTTTCACATTCCTGATTTGTCACCACATTCAGGACGCTGGCATATGCTTCCTGCTACCTTTATTGATTCATTATGCAGCATAATTTGACATTGAGTATCATTTCTATTTGATAGATCCCCTGGTTGTTCATGCTGAAGACGTGGCCTTTATCTAAACCGTGGCTTTGGCCTGCTGTCAGCTCGCAGCTTCCCACAGCCTCTACGGCAGCCCCCTGAGCCATGAGCACGTGCTGACTTTCTTCAAAATTAAAATATGTCAGATTTTATAGTTAATCACCGTGTCACCCTTTCCCTCCAAAAACTTCCAATAAAATTACAAATGGTCTTACTAGTCTCACTTACATGTCTAAAATGTTTTCACACTAACTAATTCAATACTACACTTCATTATTTAAGTGCACTGTATAAGTTCATAGACCAATGCACAGTATATTGGCTCTAATCCTGTAATTTCTCATATTACACTCCCCTTCTTAAATATCAGCCTTATCTTGCCTTATTTCTAATTTTGTACCATGGCAAAATGGGTCCTTCTCTCGAAGGTTTCAAAACGTACACTTGGTCATATTCAAAGCAATGGCAACTGGTGTGTAAATCGCTATCATCAATTTAATGGATATATTCAGGTATGCATAGTGTGTATACACACACACACACACTCACACACATATATATGAACATTTGTTACACTCATTTGTAGAAAGCGGCTTTTTTAGTTCTTTTATCAGCCTTCATTATATGTAAACATTTTTACCAAAAAATTCACTTTATTTAGACTGACCCTTACCTGACGTTACTGCATCAAGGGGCATTGCCACCTTGCTTTCTTTAAAATGGGGATGGGGATCATTGTTTCCCGAGAATCTCAAGAAATGTGAGTTCTTGTATTTAATTTGTCAATTAGTGCCTAGGTTGGTAAAGTAAGACAATAAAGTGGGTTAACCAGTGTGTGCCTCAGTTAGGTAGATTCCCATAGTCTTCCTTGAGCAGAGCTCTGTAAATGCAGTGCTACCTAAGTTTTAATGAGGAATATTCATGTTGGTCCTAAACCACCTCCTCAAATGGCTTTCGTTGTAACACAGGGCATCTGTTTGGGTTAACTCTTTGCTTTCCTTTTATTTCATGGTATGTAGCACTCTACTGAAACACAAAGCTAACCTAAAACGCAAGCAGCATAAGAGAGGGAGTGAATCTGCCCCAAAGGGAACGTTTGGATGTTCCTGGAGTACTTATCAGCAGCACCTGTGCCCCGGGCTGGCCACCATGTCAGCCAAAGCTTTTGTGGCTCTGAGAAAAGGCAACATGAAGAAGCCACAGTTCGGGTCCTCACTTTGCCACTGGCCATCTGTGTGACCTTGGAACAGCAGCTCCTCTTTGGGCCTCAGTGTCTTATCTACAAGATGAGGAGTTAGATGAGGTGACCTTTAATGCCTCCCGGCTCTTAAATTCTCGATTCTCTGAAGGCCATGAGTCTTTCTGACACTAAAACCACATCATCACAAGAGATCAAAGGATGTGAAACTAAGTGCAAATAAAGGTCGAATACCACATTTAAAGGCAAGTGCTTCCAAAACATCAAGGCTCAGGGGGAAGCTCATGTTCACAGTAGCCCCTCAGAATTCTTCTTTAAAATGGGCCGAAACAATCCGAGCGATGCTGTTATGCAAGGCCAGCGTCCGTAGCCCTGTGGTGCAAGGAGATTTACTCACACCTGGCATATTCTGTCATCACTCCCTACCACATCTAATATACTCCATATAGGCCACTGGTTTTATCGATTGAAAATATAAGCCAGACACCAAGGAAGAAGCCAAACAAACAAAAAAGCTTTCTAAAGAGTAGATTTGAATTTCTTGAGAAACTTTCATGAAACCATGTATATTTTCTTCACTGAAGAGCGTCTCAGGCCCTCTCTAGCCTACAGAAATAAAGAAAAGATTTAACAGCTCACTTTGATCGAGCTCTCATTGTGTTCTAGGCGTTACTGTTAGCATATACCATACCTTCATTTCTTACAACAACTCTATACATCCTAATACTCTCTCTTGCGGGGACTAGTACACTGAGGCCACGCGCCCTGGCTCAGGGCTCTCTAGCCCAGGTTCCTGACCATCACGGCACATTACCCTTAGCTCCACTCGTGCTGAGCATAGCAGAAGGGATAAACTTGTTGGAGGCACCATGCTGTATACTTGAAACTAATGTAACATCGCGTGTCAACCTTACCGCAGTTAAAAAAAAATAAATAATATTTGTTAAAAAAAAGGAAAAAACCTGAAAATAAATAGAAGGAGAGAAGGGCTCTTAGTCCCAGGTCTACCGAGACCCTGACCAAAACAGAGAAAGAAAGAGACTGGAAAAAATCGTATAGATGACTCGAAAAGCAAAAATGTATGGTCATTTGGGAAGCAAAAGCGGGTCTATTTATTTACCTGCTTAGTTGTTTCCTAAATGCTCCCACTGGCATCTACTCTGTGTCAGAATCCATTCTCCTGACTTTACAAATCTTTTTATTTTTACTTTACAAACTCATTGTATCTCTCAAGAACCCCGTGAAGTAAGGAGTGGAGTTAGACCCATTTTATGCATCAGGAAATTGAAGCACAGAGAGGTTCAGTGCTGGGTGTAGGCCCCACAGCTAGTCAGGGGCAGAGCCGGGATTTAGAACTAAGCAGCACTGCTTTGGCATCTGGGCTCTTGAGCTCTGTGCTCTGCTGCCTGATGCGGGTACTTCCGTAAGCCCCCCACTGTATTACAATAATGGGGGTTCATTTATTGACTCAGCAGTATTACTATTGCTGCATTTTAATTTTAATAAAGGCAGTATTGAATGTGCATAACTTGAGTTTCAAGGAAAGATGAAACTTATTTTGGTATATTTGGTTAAGAAATTGAGATCCCCTGTACATTTTTGAAGGATTCTCATTCATGATGGTTCATTTTTTTTTATTGTTGCTTTCCTATTTACAGTGTCAAATCCCAACTGTTTGAAAACCTCAACCTCAGTACTTTCAGATTTATCGGACACTTGATTTGAGTTTCACTGTATTTAAGACTAAAGTTATGCTGAAATGAGCCACCATATTAACTTTCTCAATATATGAGAATACGAGGGGAGAAAGCAGCTGTAATTTAATTTACAAAATTTATAAATATGATTTATTTCTAGACCAAGAAATAAAGCATTGTCTATAATTCCCTTGTATAATCCCCTCCATCCTCAAGCCAAATAAATAAAATATTTAGCAGAAATAGAGTTCTTTGAGATTGACTACAAGTACTGGGAAGCCCATAAGGGCATTTAATATATCTGGTGTCTAAACTGTGCTTTTCTTGTTCTTTCCTTTTTGTGTTATTAATGAGTAGACTGTGTGCTCGGTATGAATGTTAGTTTCAGGAAATAGGCCTAAATAAAGTCGGAGACCAAACCACTGCAGCCGGCAGTCTTTCAGCAGGATGGTCTTCTCTAAAGTACACAAGCCTTTACTTGTTTTTAAAGGAAGGGCATGCTTAGCCCTCAGAGATCTCTTAACCCCGCTTCTAGGCTCTGTGAGTATCTGCTGACCTCCTCCAGTTCCTTCCACGCCTGGCTTTCCCATTTGAAGTTATGTATTGTACAGCAGGATCCCAATTAGCTGAAATCAGTGAAGAGGAAAACATGATATTAACCAGAGAATATTTTATTTAAATTGTGGAGTGTGATAAAATACATAAAAATAGAGTTGCTACATCTCATAAAAGCCACCCGAGATTCCAGAATCGGTTGAAAATACATGGTTGGGAGCTGGAGAGGATATGAGGTGGGGCTGGGTTCAAAATGAGAACTGCTTCCTTTACCAAAAGAAAAAAAAAATTTTTTTTATTCCAAATCTAAATACGGCGTATGGCTTCTTTCCACAGCTCTGGGGTGGATTCAGCAGTATATTTTCCAGATCAGCACATGCACTTCAGATCTGTGACACCGGCCAGGCAGCCTGAATCGATGAATCTGAAAGCCTCCAAGAGCATGGACCTTGGTAAGTGAGGGTGAGTGACATCCAGGTCAGCACGCCAGCCTTAAGCCCATCTATCTTCCTGAATGTCCTCCCTTTGTTGCCTCAGCTCCAACCTTAGGGGGCGAAGTCGGCCCCAGGCTGGAGGAGGGGATATTGGTCTCACACATTTAATTGTAATTACCCCTCTTTAAAAGAGAGATGAATGACATTTTTATAAGGCGGTCCATATTGGTCAGAAAAATACGATTATTCCTTCCAGATGATCTGGATGCCGTCAGCATCAGTGACTCACCTGCCTTTGTATTTGCACTCTCACTTCTATCAGTGACTTTGCCGTTCTCATGAACATACCCGCTGCGGGGCCTGGGAAGATAATAGGGTTAAATGAATCCTCTTCCACGGGGTTTCCTATCTCTATGTGCAGTGGACAGGGATGGCAGCAGTGATAAATCTTCCCGATTTATCTCTTGAAATGCCCATCTTCAGATCCTGTTAACACTGGAGGGGAAAGGGTTCCTTGAGTTTGCCAGATGGAGGCTGTCAAGGTACCCTGGGTCCATGCCTGAAGGACCTCACTGAGGTTCTGAGCTCCGCAGGGAATTTCAGGGTGACTCTTGGCTGCTAGTGCAGAACGAGGGCCCCCTGGAAACGATGTTCTCCAGGTCCTACGATGTGGGACCCCAGAAGACATTTCAGACACCCAAGCACATTGCTGTGCTCTCACGGGCTGTTGGAGAGAGAGGACTATGAGGGAAGGGTGCAAGTGCAAAATAAATCCCCAGCAAATATTCATTGCTGCTGGGTGCTCACAGGCCGTGCTTTGCAAATGTTTTCTCTTGAGACGTATTGCATATTTCATTAGTTAGCAACAAGAATATAGAATAATCAAAACCATGTGCTCCACAGAACAATCTGATAAATAGTGCTTAGCTCTTACTCATTTACAGGAGTTCAGAAAAACGTTCAATCATGATGAAACAAGAGAAATTGATTCTATTTTCTACAAATTAACTAGATCACTAGGATACATTTGCTCTGATCACCTATAGCAAGAGAGGGATAGAAAAGCTGAGCCCTGGTCAGAAAAGGGGATTTTCTCCAGCATGAACCTTTGACAAACCAAAGGAATCATGTGTGACAGTGACCGAGGTTATTACTAATAATTTGAGGAGCAACTGATTTTTATAAAGTGCTTGATAAACATCTTTTGTTCTGTCTTCCCAATTACTCTATGAAGAAAACAAATAGATAAAAATCTCTTTTAATTTGGGGCAAGAATATATTACTATTTTCCTCATTTAGTTAAAACAAAAAGTTCCAAAAAACTCTCTGCAAAAGAAAAAAAAATGGCACCCATTTTAAGAAAGAAAAGCTATTATCAAATCTGTAAAAATAAAGCCTAAGGTGTATCCAGAAACAGTATTTCTGTTTATATTTTTTTGTTTCTGAAAACTTTGTTTTTGAGAAGTTTTCTATTTTTACATTGAAACAGCCCTTCCAAAATATGTATAGGTAGCAGTCACTCATTGCATTCTATTGGACTTACACCATAAGCGACAATAGTAATGTTTGTTCAGTTTGCCTCATTGGGTAGAGGTCCCGAGCTGTTTTCAGGACATAGGTGCCAAAGCTGTGGCTTAAACGCACCATACAGCAGAAGTGGTAAAATTTGGTATACAAATATTTTATACACCATCAAAGTTTGGTCTCTTCCAGGAAATGCCAGTTTAAAGCTAACAGTCTTGCAGAGGGCAGCATTCTAGAGCCATTCTGAACCCCTGTCCCCAAAACAATTGAGGGAGCTCAATAAACATGTTGATTTTCTTAGCACATAAGCTCAGATGATACCAGATGGTAAACATTTGGAAGTGTCTTTCCTGTTTGGTTAGGTGAAAAGATTATTGTGAAGTCATTTCATTTTCTATAAGTAGCAGTGGGCAACCTAAGGAATTATTATATTTACTAAAAAGGGTGGTGGCTATGCTTATAAAGATATCAGGGTCAAGATCCAATCTTCAAAAAGTAAAAAATCAATCATCCATCCATCCATCCTCAGGTATTTAGGCTGAATATCAAATCAGTGCTTTTGACTATTTTTGGACCTGGAAAACTAGCAGTTTCATATGGTTCAAAACTTAAAAAAATAAAACCTTTTATCTATCTAGTCCTTTATGTTGGATAGTTCTCCTTTCCAAAGTCTACAGGAATCTTTGAAGGCTAACGGTCCCAATTAGTACCTTTGTTTTTGTTTCATTTTTGTTGCTGAGTCTAGGCTAGCATTTTAACTTGCATATTATGTTCAAATTATTTTAAAGGTGAGTGAGTTCCATTTACTTAATTTCACTTATGTTTCAAAAGATAGACAGCTCTTGTGAGAAAAAAGTATTCTCATCCCCAGATAGAAACATGATTGAAAAATAGTTGGCTATGTATACATACGTAGCACTTTATTTGCTGCACCATCTACGTACATATATCTATATCACATATTGTGTTTCTTTATAATAGTTGTACAGTTTTATGTGAATGAATCTGGATTTGCAATTTGCTTTTTCCCTTTTGACTGAATTTAGGATTGAGAGTTTAGGGTATTTTTTGTTTTTTTTGTTTTTTCAGGGGATCCATTTGTATTTCACATTCTGTGATTTGCTAATTTATATCCTTTGCCAAAAATGTTTCCATTTCTTAATTCTTTTTGTCTTTAGAATGTTGTTATGGGGTCACCTGGGTTGCTCAGTCAGCTAAGCGTCCACCTCTTGGTTTTGGCTCAGGTCATGATCTCATGGATTATGAGATCAAGCCCCATGTCAAGCTCCCCACTCAGTAGGGGGTCGGCTTGAGGATTCTCTTCCTCTGCCCCCCCTCCCCCGACTCTCGAGTACATGCACTCTCTCTCTCCCAAATAAATAATCTTTTTTGGGGGCACCTGGGTGGCTCAGATGGTTAAGCATCTGCCTTCGGCTCAGGTCATGATCCCAGGGTCCTGGGATCGAGTCCCACATCGGGCTCCCGGCTCAGCGGGGAGCCTGCTTCTCCCTCTGACCCTCTCCCCTCTCATGCTGTTTCTCTCTCGCTCGCTCTCTAAAAAATAAATAAATAAAATCTTTAAAAATAAATAAATAAATAAATAATCTTTTTAAAAACAAGAATGTTATTATTTATGTTGCAAAGAATTTCTTTCAATCCATTATTTGTCATCTTAGTTTGATTATGATATCCTTTACTGTGAAGAAAACTTCAGTCTCGTAATAAAAAAATTTCTATCTTTTCCTTTATGACTTCTGGGTTTTATACTTATCACATTATTTTCTTCTAGTACTTTTGAAGGCTTTTTTTTTTAATATTTACCAATCTGTAATATATTTATCCATGGTGTGTGAGGTGGAAAAAATGTTTATTCATGACAACAGGCAAATTATTAAGAACATTTATTGATTTTTACATCCTTTCCCCATTAAAGCAGAATACATTAACATTGAATATTAAGTTTCCTTACATACATTGGTCAGTTTCTAGACATATTCTATTGACATATTTGTCTCTTCCATGCCAATGTCACCTTGTTTATATTATCAATATGCTATTACACTCTATTTTGATAACTTACAGGAAAAATTTCCTCTGATTTTTCTTCTTTTGTAAAATCACTTTGGCTCTTCATATACATTTACTCTCCCACATGAACTTTAGATCAGCTCAACAAAATGAGTTTAAAGATTAAATAAGAATGCTTCCACTGTGTGTGTGCATTAATTATGACTTCATTGATGGTTCTTGATAGAAGAAATGTTTATATCACGTTACATAAATGTCCTTGTACTCCTACCTTCCTAAAAAAGTTTACTCAGTCAGATTAATGAGATGTTGAATTTTATTAAGTGAGTTTTAAGGATCTATACAGAATGACCATGTGTATTTTGTTCATTATTAATATAATGAATTATAGTAATAGATTCCACAATAGTCAAACTTTGTTCTTTCTGAATGGCTCGAAATTTTTCTCTGTACTCAGAAAAGGTAGAAATGAACAGTGCGTTATCTATGTGCTGTAAAAGTAGGTATAAAACTTTGATTACAATTTTACTCAATCTCATTAATTCCTATATATCCATTATAGATTTTTTTTGAGGCCATTCTGCTTCAATATTTTGTAAATACTTTTGCTGGCATGCATGTGGCCACCTTTAAGACAGAACAGAAATGATTAAAATGATGAATAAAAGGAAATTTATTTTTAAATAATTGGATGTAACTGTGCTTATGCAAAGAGGTTAGGGTGTCATTTTCTGGGTTTTCCAGAAAATCAATCTTTTCCTACTAATTGTAGACTTTCCTCTATTTATTTGAATTACCAGAATTACTGTGTTCGGTCTGGATCCCTTTAATTTGCTCATAATTGAGCTTGTGTGGGTGTTGAGTTGGAAGCTCTCAGGAGCTGAATAACACAGCTGCCTCTTTGGCCTTTGGCATAGGGTTTTCCCCCAAAGAGCTGTCCTTTTGGCAGTATGCCAGAGAGTTACATTCAAAGACTTTTTGATGAGACATAAACATCTTTAATTTCCAAGCCTGGTGTCTTATGACCCCGTTAATACTATTTAAGAATTAACCTGAATTATTCAAGGGACAGTGCTTCAGTATTTTGGCTCATTCCCTGACCTAATCTATAGGCCCATTGAAAGTTCAGTTTAAAATACTATTTCCCACAAGGTTGTTGTTTTTTTGTTGGTTGGGTTTTTTTCTTTTTTCTTTTTTTTTTGTTTTTACTTTTGTTTCAAATTGGCCTTCTCCCATTTCAGAAGGGTGTTCTGTAACACAGAGAAGACTGAGGACAGTGCAGATGGAAGCCTGGCCAGCTGTCCTGCCTGTTCAATGAGAGGAAATGAGCTTCAAGTGATGCATGAGGCAGTCACACAGAAGTTTAGGAAGTTCCCTGACAATGAAGATTGTTAACATTCCATGTCCCATAGTCTCT